CACACACACACACACACACACACACACATCCGCACACACAGACACACAACCTCTCTCTCTCTCTCTCTCTCTCTGGGTGCCTTGGCCAAATTGGTCAAGGCTGTGGGAGACCCGAGTCTCAGGTGCTTATGGCAGGTATTAAATCCTTACTATGGGAAAAGGACACGGAAGCAGGGAAACGTGAGCAGGGAAACGGATGGGGGGAGGGTCGGTAGATAGATAGGGGTTATGAGGCTGGGTCTGGATATTTTAGATAGCTGGTAGATATAATACTGGGGGTTCGCCTGCTGAGGCCTGATAGGCCACCGGGATAGAGTGCTGGGATGGGAAAAAAACGGGGGTACTATCGGGGAGAGCAGGGGAAAGAAAACGGGGGGACTGGCGGCTGTTGCCTGGCGGGAAGATCAGGTTTCTTGAATTCGGAATTTATGTTTTTTTTTAATTCTTGAAAGGGGGCAGCTACTGGGCTCGGGGCAGGGGTAGCGAGTGGGTGGGACCAGGGTACTTAGGACAGGCAGCAAGGCATTCGCTGTCTGAGAGCTACGGAATCCACGATTCCACCTCCTGATGAGTCCGCACGTAGGCGGACAAAACGCGTCGAGGGTGCTACGAAGCTCAGGGAGGAGATGGTGGTGATGGTATGGTTATGGCGCAGTCAGAGCAAGGGGAACGGGAAAGAGGCAAGGAGGGAGGGACTGAGAACCGTGTATATTCCGATGAAAATTTTTGGAAATGTTCTCAAAGGAGGAATGGAAAAACGAGGAATTTGTTTCTGATTTCGCCGTAAGCATGCATGCTGCATGGACTGTGATGCCGCAGTCTACCTTCTCTCTCTCTCTCTCTCTCTCTCTCTCTCTCTCTCTCTCTCTCTCTACCACACACAAAATTTGTTAGCGCACTTCAAGTGCGCCGTTCTGGATGGGTGTGAGTGTGTGTGCGTGTGTGTGTGTGTGGCACAAAGGGGGGGAGAGAGACAGAGAGGGTTGTCCATTCGGTGAGTCCTTTCTGAGTATGTCCATGAGAAGGAGCACGAGGATAGGGAGAAGGAGGGATGGTGGTGGGTGGACGTGGTACACATTGTGGAGGTCAGATTGACCATGGTTTGCATTGACACGCTGCTGTGGAGGGGATATATCAGTACATGTAGAGCACCTATGGCGAGGAAGAGAGATGAAGGTGGAGTCCGGAGAATGAATGTAGGATGCGATTTTAAGTGAGGTGAATGCTTATGACACAAGAGGATGTTCTGGCCTTGAAAAAAGAAACTGAAAAAAAAACAATGACGAACCGGGAAACAAAAGTGTCATTCCGGACATCCGTTAAAATTGGACAAATCGGGTCCCACTAGCACAGTTTGCTCCGCTCGTACAATGGTGTGTGACGCTGTTTTCGCATTTAAAAAATGGATTTTCCGTTTTTTTCTAATTTAAAAACTTCGTTTTCTATGAATTACAGAAAGAAAAATCCTTCTCCGGGTTCTCCTGTCAGCCAATGGGCTGGGAGCCAGCGAATTCGTTGCCTCTTTTTGAGGGTGGTTTCTTCAGTCAGCCAATGGGCTGCGTCCTCCGAAAGAGACTGGGACATCAGTTTTCTGTTTCGCCCATTTCGTGGAGGCCGAGAGCAACGAGGAGACGGTGCAAAATCACCCCGTACCTCGAAAGTTTATAAAAATGCATCGGATGAACATTGAACTACGAATTCAGAAAACCACAAAACACAGCCTTTTTGGCAGGCGGATTGGCGGAAACAAGTACTAGACAACTTCATGATTCCAGGCAAACATGGACCATCGATTTTTCGCAGCCATCCACGGACGGTGTGTGTCACTGGCTGCCACACATGATTGAAAACCCCAGCCACACCGAAGCAAATGCCGTGAGTGGGTCCCGACCCCTGCGCAACGATGACACACATAAAATCGAGGAAAAAACATGTTAAAAGCAAATAAAACGACAAGAAAAAAACAGGAAAGCACCAACACACACACGACGAACCTGGCAAGCAAATTAAAAAAAACAAGTCACAGGAGGTGCAGGGCACTGGACCCTGCGGCACCAGTATGCTGTAAGGATAGTCAGAGTGTGAGTGTGCCCTAAGTTGCCCGAAGTCCCAGTGTGAGTATGTCCCAAAAGGTCCCAGAAGTCAGTATGCCCATAACAGCGGACAGATACATTGAAAAGAAATCCCGGTGTGAGTATGGACTAAGGAGCTGTCAGATGCAAATGTCGCCGCGGGCGCGCACGCGAGCGCGCGCGAGAGAGAGAGAGAGTTATATCCATAGGATGAGCAAAATGGGAATCAATCTGTCACTAGAACATGAAAATATCCATCCCCCCTCCCTCCCACTGGTTGGACTCCCTCCTTGTCATCTCTCTCTCTCTTCAAGTCGTCAATGAGCTGCTTGGGCAGAGCGGGCACCATTGCCACTGTTACCTGCATCAAGGAGAAAGCCACAACAGAAAATGGTGGTCAGCACCTCGAATTCCCTCTCCCCTCGTCCAGCTCCACCATTCTCTCCTCTAATCCCCCTCGGCTATGCAACATTCCAGCGGGCAATTCAAAAAAAAAAAAGACACAACTGCGCCTGTGACCGGTGCAGAGTTCCAAATTCGCGGAAATAACAGTACACTGCAACTTCGGGCCGAGAGCAGTTTGAAACTGCAAAAAAAACAGTAAGTGATGCCTTTGACGGCCTGCCGGTTGAACAATTGGCAAAAGAGGGAGGTACCAGAGCCGGTACAGGTCGTTTTCCTGTAGACTGGCCTGGGAGCAGGTACCCGTCCTCCCATTTTTACCCTCTGGCCGGAGGCGGGTTGGATTGGAAAACGACCCTGCGCCAGAAGTGACCGTGGCACATGCCCTGCCAACAACACCCACCTAAGGGTCTCTCTCTCTCTCTCTCTCTCTCTCTCTCTCTCTCTCTCTCTCTC